CAAAATGTGAAAAGTGATTTGAATCAAGAGATACTTTGCTGCCCGTCGATTCACATAATAAACTCTTCAGAAAAAAAATTTGAACCGATTCTGTTCCCCGTATAAAAAGTCGGTTTTGCGCTAATGAATATCTAGTGATGTTCCACTCTGTAACTTATTGATTGAAATCTTATGCTTACCTCTTTAGATTCTATGAAGCTTTTTGTAGTGCTTTACGCACAATTATGTTTTTCAATGATAATTATTCTGAGGATAACCTTAATCGAACTCAAGGTATCTATAGCTTTCTACAGCCTTATGAATTAGACTTATTATTTAATTTTTATTCTTTGTTCTAGAGTCATGGACACGAAGTTATAGTAAACGTCCTGTATTAAAAGCATTAAAAAGTACAATTACAAGGACAACAACAAAAGGTCTGTATTTACTAACTCGAGAATCAATAAAATGTAACGAATATCTCTGGATTATAGAATCAGCATTACCTCATTCAACAGAGGCAACAGGAAATGATACGCTAGGATGGAATAACTATGATAATGATCAAAGCTTTAATGAAAGTAAGGTTTTGAAAAAATCCAAGAAAGATAAATTTCTGTTCTAAACAATATTAGTGCTTTTGCTATTTAATTTACGTCTATTACATGAATGTATATTTTTCACAAAGTTTTATCCTTCTAGACGAAATTGATCCATATGGCGTTGAAGTACGTTCACCATTTGAGCGTAATATTCATCGTTCTACTTATTATAATCAATCAAGAAGTCGTTCAGCATCTACACCTTTAGCAACGCGTAACGGTAAATAATCAGCATTCAGCACAAAATAATTGGCACAACCATATTTTTCTAGAATCGAATCATCAATTATCAAGAAAACGACACCGTAACGTTATTGACACCGATGAAGGTATGCACAGCATTTTAAAGCTTACACTTTTCCTTGTATTTATTTAAGAGGGTAAAAATATATAATAGAAAATAAAAAGTTATTTTTTGCGTATTATGAATGAGCATAGTAAAGTATCTAAAGACAAGAAGTATGTTAATTCCAAACATCTAATAGTGACAAAAACTTTGCTTCCTCTCAAAATAACTGCATAAAACGCGTTTTCGTTTTTTTTCAAAACTAAGAAAAAACAAAAGGGAAAGAAAAGACATGAGCATTAACATATCCTAAATATTTTTGGTGACATACTGGCTGATTCAAGTGGATTTAAAACCGTTTGGTTGTTTAAATGGCAAAGATTTGAATAATAATATTGAGTATTTATTTATGAATCAAATGAGATACTAATTATCCACGGTGGTGACAATATAAAACGAGTCTTCCCTAGTGAAAAACTTCCTCGAATCTTACTAAGATTATACTGTCTGAGACTTTTTCAAGATAAGATTCTCTTCATAGTAAGGGCGATATCGCTTTTTAAATAATATTCATTCGAGATTCACTGGAAATCTTTCAAGTTTTAATCCGCATTATCCAAAGCTGCAGGTGAACAGTGTTGAAGAATGAAGAAAAATTTCATCAGGTGTCCAACTATGGCCCTTGACCTGCATGTACACTCTCTAAATAGTTGTTGAATACTTTCGAGAGAACAAGTATTAGCAGAGTCTGGAAGAAAAATAAACTTATAATAACTCATATTTTCGGTTACTTATATAGATGAATGAGAGCAAAACAAAGGAGTGATTGAAAGTAGAGTCGTTAAATCTTATTAAGATCTTAAACGATAAGATCTTATAAAAAATTTTAAGTGTCTAAGATTTTTACTAGGGTTAATAGTAGTTGTCTGAATCTTATAGAGAAAAGCCTTAGTTCATATTACCCATTTCGTAACAGTTAATGTTAAACCCGCTAAAACTGATGTAACTGTAGATGCCAAATGTACGACGAACAATTAATTTCTATATTACAAAAAAATTTTGAATGTTCATCCATATAAACAAAACAAAAACGGAACTACTTTCCGGGAAAGTTCATTTTATGCGGTGGAGACAACAATAACGACAGCAACACTGCTAAATCTACAAATAGCTAAAACATTCGCAGCATTTTAGATCATCAGGGTCATACAGAAGGGTTAGAAATTGGTAAATTAGCTTGATACGTTATGTAATTAGTAAAAGGAGATGCTAAATAGTCGATCATTCAAACTATCCTCCCTGTCCAGTAAATGTCTTCTACATAGATTTTCAGTTGGTAACGTTGCCTTTTTTTTTGCTTTAAATTGTAAAATATCACTTCCGTTTCTTTCATTTCTTTGCAGCTAATTTCTCAGAGATAAGGATAGAATTAAAACGAATAAAAGTAGAAATGAAACAAATATCCCTTAACATTGATGGAGTTTCAACAAAACTGGATGAATCTATCAATACGTGTAATGATTTAAAAGCAAGTTTAGCATCATTAACAAAAATAATGATGGAAGTTTTAAACATACAAAAATTTGTACGTTAAGAACTATCAGCACTGCATTCCTACACATCTAATTTGATTACTTCAATATCTTTTATGTTTTTAGGCAACAAGTACAAATGTTCAACAGGAGAATCGTCCAGTAATTGTAAGTCATTTCCTTTTGTCTGAATAAGTTAAGAATAATGTGGTTTCTTTTTCGGTCTGTCTAGACTTGTAATGGCATAAATTTAACATCTGATCCAATACCTCCACAAAAACCAACGGCATTATTATGTCGATTAATAAGAAAATTATGTACAAGTAAAGAAATAAGTGATGGGATAATTCCTGACGAACGCTTCGAAAAAATAAAAGGTATTTAAAAATTTGAAGTGTTACAAGCAAATATTATTTCAACGTTTTTCCTTTTCTTTTTTAATAGAAGCTATTGGCGTCACTTATTATCCTGGTGATAATACAAAACTTGACGTTTTTTGGCATGGAGAAGCTCATGATTCAATTCTAGGACAAGCAAGAGCACAGCGAAGTAGAAATAAAAGGTAAGAATAATTACAGTAGTTAAATATCTCATCATTACACGTTGTTCTAATAGAAATTAATAACGTACCTTCTAGTACTAAGTGTTATATTTTTCTGTTATTAGAAAGAATCATCCCCCAGAAGTGACCGAGTGTGAATAAATAAATGATCAACCTACCGCAGAAGGCTGGAAATAAATAGAAGGATAAACTAACTTTTCTAACTAACGAGGGAGGTTCACCAAGTGTTACTCAAGTTTCTTAACGGGATGTACTACATTTTGTAGAGTTTGCTGTACTGAGCACGCTGAAAGCCATTCTTCTCCACAGGCCTTCCTTGCAGAGTTGTACGGATTTTACGTTATAATGAGTCAAGGTTTCGTGTATAAAGAAGTTTTCTTATTTCTGTTAATATGCACTCCTAAGATTTCTGGTTTCACAGGTATGTTCGCCACAGTGGATAATCTATCTTGATATACAAAAGTCAGATAAATTGTTAGAAAACAAACTCTTAAAAGTTTATGAAAATATATATTGTTTCTGATGCTTCTCAGGCAGATTTCTCATAGATTTTTTTACAGATTTTAATCAAGCTTTCAGAAAATTGGAGAAGGACGAAGGAGACGGTTGACGTGCATCAAATCTTGACACCATTCCACTCTCTTCATGAATTATGCTTAACTGATATTCCTCTGCTTGAAGTGCTCCTGGTGTCCATGACAAACGGTATTATATGTAGTTGAAATTGTTTAGATAATCGCTTTGCACGGCACTTTATGTTATATATAATTACAATTGGCTAACTTGTTGTGCCGTGCAAGGCGATTATCTAAACAATTTCAACTACATATAATACCATTTGTCATGTACACCAGGAGCACTTCAAAGCCGTTTCACGAATTCGTCGATGGTTGACCAATTCGATTTACGAATTCGTAGGTACCGGAAATTTCTTTTTTACGAATTCATCCTAATTTACGAATTGGCAAAAGGAAGACGCAATTTTTTTATTCGTTTTTGATCATTTTTGTTAGTTCGCCTCACTCCGCATTGAATCACGAATTCGCTGGGAATTCGCAAAACAATGGTAAAATGCGATTGTTGCATCATTTTTACGCCCAAAAATTGCGATTCGTCAATTCGTCTTTAGACACTTTGCCCACACTAATGCATTTTTTGAACTATAGACTTGTTGTCAATAATTGCAATAGAAGAAAGAAACAGAACACGTCGATGATAGATGAAAGAAAGCTGACACGAATGCGACAATATATTTTTTCGTTCTCTGTTTTTTTTCTAATGTGAAAAACCCTTTTAGAATAACAAACAACAAGACAAACAACATTGAGATAATAACATAAAAAGGGAAGACTAGAAAGCACATGAAGTCAAGTTACGCCATTAATGCGTGGATATTTTTTTAAACCATTAACAAAAAACAAGTTACATAATCAAAAAATGTGACAATAGACTATATGAATACATGTATCTGTGCGAAACAAAACAGAGGGGAATCTCTCTCCCTTTCTTGTGCATGTGCCGAGTGGGGCGGGGAGGCAGTGAGGATGGCTGTGAGTACTTACACAACATGCCATATTTTTCGAATTGGTATGAAAAGTATGCGAATCGATGAGAAGAGACGAACCTATCTATTTTTAACCCCAGAGAAAAGTGTTCTGTCCCTACGTAGCCTAGTAGGCGTACACATCGATTCACAATGAATTTGCAAAATAGGTTTGTCAATTCGTGGATCCATTTTCAACCGCATCAGTTCGTAATACGAATTCGTGTTTACGAATCAATCTAGTTCCAAAAACAGTGAACACGAATTCGTAAACTAATTTTACGAATTATTTGCGAATTGATCAGCATCGTGTTTGATCTATTCTGTGTTTACGAATTCTTCTCGCGAATTCGTAAACACAGAATGTTTTTAAGAGTATCCGTACCAATTCGATACAGTTCGCATCAATTCGGTACGAATTCGCAAAATAAGGATAAAACGCGAATTGTTGCATCATTTTTGCGCTTAAAAGTTGCGATTCGTCAATTCGTCTTTAGACACTTTGTCCACACTAATGCATTTTTTGGGTTATAGACTTGTTGTCAACAATTGCAATAGAAGAAAGAAACAGAACACGTCGATGATAGATGAAAGAAAGCTGACAAGAATGCGACAATATATTTTTTCGTTCTCTGTTTTTTTTCTAATGTGAAAAAACTCTTTTAGAATAACAATAAATTTTTAGAAATATAAGAGAAATAGCCACTGTGTTGCTGATTATCAAAATTAGATAGATAATTTGTTTTTATTCCAAAAACTTAATATCATTACATTGTAAGTCACAACACATTTAAGTTCTTCTTATTTTTAAAGTGCGATGATACACTAGGCGAGAAGCTTGTGCTCCCACAGACAAGAATCTTGCACCTTGCTTATACAGACAAGCAGCATCATGCAAGATTATTGCAGTGCAAATGATCGTTTAGACCTTGAGAAAGACTCATCTGCTTATTTCTGACTAATCTAAGATGCAATTTAATAAATTCTTAAAATCTAGATTAAAAATTCAAAATAGCCCATAACTCAGTGGTTAAGCATTTTCAACGCTGGTGGACCTCACAGGCAGCTTCAACGTGCTTTTCTTATATGAAGTCGAGACATTTTGAAAACAATTCAAAGGATTTCTTAAACTTTTTTTAAACCTCCTCATTTTTTCATGCTTCTGCCTGAAAATGACGTAATATGATTCTGGTCGGAAGTCTGGAAAAGTCTGATAAGAATCTTGCCTGCGAACACCTACTTGCTCCAACAGACAAGAAAAGCGTAACGAGAGCCTTATCTGCCAATACAAGATAGTGATTACAGACAAGATTCTTATAAGAGGAGAATATGGGCAAGTCGCGCGTCTGTAAAGGCAAGGAGCAAGATTCTTGACTGTGGAATCACAAGTTTCTCGACTAGTGTATAATCATTATAGCTGGTGGAAACTCGTGTCTGTTCCTGATAGTTTTAATATTTTAACCTTTTCCATCGATCACCCAGTATTTTCTAGAACCCTACATATATCTAGCGTTTTGCAATACACTAATGCTAAAAATGATAGTATAAGTGAAGCCAAACTGTTATCTTGATTCGTTTCTTTGTTAGCCTCTACATTGTCGACTTCACAAAATGTCATTTATTGATTGGAACGACGCTTTTAATAATAGTAAATTCAATGATTTAAGTCACAACTGGTCGTTTGATTTAATGCCGAAAAATATAAATGGATTATCGAAGGAAGACCGTCCTTATGTACAACAAAAATATGCTCAGTATGTAAAATAAAAGCTTTTTGTTAACTAGTCAAATATATTTCTTTTTGTTGATTAGTTTTACATGTACAAGATGTAGTAACGGATGGTCATCGGCTAAAGCAACCGTTGAATTTTACCATCGATTAGATTGTGGTCGTGGTACTATTCGAATGTTATTGCTTGGACAACAATGTAAAAAATGTGGAAATAGAAATGGAACGTATTCTGAACCTGATTTTCCGTCTGATGTTATGGAGAAAATTTTGGATAATTTACATCGTTGCATATGTGAAAAATATTATGGTCAACCCAGAGTGAAAAATCGAAATCCAGAGAATGCTAAAAAAATGAATGGGCCACACATTAGGGAATTATGTGAAGCTTGTCGAAAAGGCATTTGTAAAGAAGATCGAGCATAAAGTAATCAACGTACGCTCTTGTTTTGACGTATGTGTGTGTGTATGCGTAAAACATTTTTCACTTTTCATCAGA